TCTTGATTTTCAGAACGTCGCTCATGTCTATCATTATGAAAACTTGTAGACGCATAATTTTCTACTACAGGTTGTTGTATCATTGCATCTACGTTATAATGACCAGTTCCTCCATCAGATTCAGAGTGCTTGTTTATATTACGACACATAGCCTGATGAAACATTAATTTATATTCATAGTTCATTCTTCCATCAAATGTGTTAATAGACCAACTGCAATGTTTGCAGTTTGTTTTAAAATTTTCCGTGTCAACTGTGAAATCTTGCGATAGTCCGCTACAGCTATTAATTTTTTCTCGTATTTTATACACCTTTTTTATATGTTTATTCAGATGGTTATTTAAAGTACTCTTATAATGTACACGAACACCTTTTCCACAAATTATGCAATTCGGAATATACTTCTGTTCGAGACCGTCGTGTGTGAAATATCGCCATGGCGAGCAATTTCGTCTTTCGTATTTCCATATAAAGTTGCCTTCCGTGGTAAATATATTATGCACATGGAACAAGTGTGCTTCTATTTCTGCAGTTCGTTTAAAAAGTTTCCGACAATGATAGCAATATATACCTTCTGTGGGGGGTAATTTGACGCAAGCCTCCCAAATATTTTCAATATAAGTACGTATTTGAGCCATTATATCTGCACTGTATCACGGAGAATGTCTTACTAAATGTGCCATGTACTGACTACGCCAAGGAAAATATTCGAAACGATGAAGGTTGAAGAGAAACATTTGCGAATCTTTCCTAAATGTAAATATTATAGACACAACATCAGCTGTTTTGTTGTTTGACTCGGACGTGGTTATCTTCACGTGGGAAGGTATTTATGGTACCGTGTGTATGTACTGCATAGTATTATATGTAGTATGATAAATAACGTTTAATTTGCATATCTTGGTAATTTTAAGCCGTGTCGCTCTATTTCTAATTATTCGACCTCCGTTTAACGTTTAGATTGAGATTCATACATGTCTTATGCTTTTATGACAAACTGAAATGATATTATATTAGTACCAGATTAAATAAAATTAAATTGTTAGACATATAACACTACTACATTTGCAGATGTAGCACGGACGCGCACCAAAATGATGTTTTATCGGAAAATAAACGTGTGGCTATATAGTACCAATTTCGAAAATGGATGTATAGTGTACAGGGGCTTTCGACGGTTTCACGAAAAAAGCCGGAATGGCCTCTCTCAGACTTCTCTCTGATATTACTCATTTCTCATTTATTCCATTTTCTTATTACTAAATATTGCTTATATTAAGTAATAATATGAAATATTGATGAGGTATGATTTAGGAGACTGGTATGCATTCGGCAACTCTCCCCTATTTTTATCAGTGTAAGGAAGGGGGCAGCCAATAATTTGATTCAGTGATTTAAAAAAATTCAACTCCATTATATATCTCAAGGGGACTTTATTAATGTCACTGTAAAAGTAAAGTATTTTTAAAACAAAATACTCATACAAAAAGTATAAAATCGAATATTTGTACATTGATCTAGCGCTTAAAAGTAAGTAAAGTAATACAATGTAACGCGATACATTCGATACATGCACATGTTAATAATATACAAAACGTAACTTAAAAGATTGTTAACATAAAATAAACTCCACGCATTCTCAGAGATCAAGTTTCACCTCTTTCCTACTTAATTCTTCTCTCATAATTTGCAATACAGTTACTCTATATTCTAACGAGATTCTAAAATTCTATGTAGCATGGCTAGTATCACAATTCTAACTTCTCATCTCCGCAATAAAATAGAATATGCAATTACACAGAAACGGAAAATGTAGTTCGCTCAACTCAACTATAATTGACAAAATTAATTATTGGTTGTGCTGAACTTAAGAGAGAAGCGTGATGACATTTACCTATATACAAATAAAAATATGTACCGCAAGTATGAATATAACGCCGCAATTTAAATACATTGATGAAATATTTTATAAAACACAAATGTTTAGCGGATGGTTTAATGTTATGTTAGAGTTTCACGCCTGTTACAATAATAACCTAATTCATTAAGCACGTCGAAATATGTCTAATGATGGGATTAAGTACAATTTTTCTACAAATAATATAAATTATAAAAAATACGGCTCTATCGATACAATCATACACGAGCATAACTAGTAGCTGCACAATGAGGGTCTTTATAATCGAAAGTCATATAATATTTATACAAAATAATATAAATCATATATATATATATATATATATATATATATATATATATATATATTTCGGTACTTCATCGAATGTCATCTAAAAAGTTATTAATACTGTTTTTCTTAATATACTGTATATTTAATTTTATACTTAATTTTCCGAGACATGGCTAAATAAAAATTTATTCATATAATTGCATATACCTATAAGAAATGAGCATTGCTTAATTTTCGGTGTTGCATTATTCTTACGACTGCGCGCATCGCAAATCGCTTAAATTGTAATACAACGCGGTTATAGAAAATACAAACATTTTGGATTTTTGTGAACATCAATAACTATAGTTGTTACTTTTTGGATACGGTAATTAATTGATTCATCACGAAGAGGACGACACTATTTCTTCGTCGGAGAGGATCAACATTCGACGAAACCGGCAAACCTTTTAATTGTCTTCACACGGACCAACTCAAGTGGTTTTGTTAGTTGGTCGGAAACGCGACATGTAAAAATCGCAATCCGTGCAATACAGCGTTGGCTCAAGTACATTTCTCTTCCGACAGAGATTGCAGGGTGTAACGTGTGCTCTCACGGTAGTCGCGATGCCTGTTGGCGTTTGCAGAGGTGGCTGCACCACCATCGGAACGACCTTCGCAGTGGACATCGCAAAGTGCATCTGTTTGGAAAGCGGAGGATGTTGATAGGCCGGATATTTCACATTCGGCTGTATCTGGCCGTTCTGCAGAGTCTTGGGATACATTTGATTGGACACCATGGGACCTTGTTGCTCTACCTTCTGAGATGATAATTGTCGCTGGTAGTTGTCATGTCTCTGCTGATAGTTCTGCGCGTTTTGTTGCTGCTGCTGTTGCTGCTGTTGATAGGCTAGTGAATTAGACGGTGGCTGATACTGCGGCAATGGTTGGCCCGCTCTGCTTTGCGGAAGAACAGTTTGATAGGGATGACCCTGATAGGAACTTTGAGAGTATTGACTTTGATATGGATTCGGCGACTGATTAGGCGGATAAAATTGCTGCTGCGAATGCTGGACAGTTATCGGGCTGGCATTGTGAGACGGAATTCTTTGATTCAGAGTATTCTGCTGCGGCTGAACGGTCGCCTGCTTGTTCATTTGATTGTGCTGCTGCTCCAACTGGTTGTGCAATTGTTGCTGATAATACGGTCCGTAGCCGTTTTTCTGAGGCAGTATTTTCATTTGCTGCATTCCATTTTGAATGTATTGCCCGTTCATTTGCGTCGGGTAAGGACTAGCTGGCTTCTGGGTTTGCGACAAAGGAATTATTTGATTTCTTGGATGGGACGATTGCGTCTGCGGGTACACCGACTGCACGTATTGAGTGTATCCATTTTGAGTGTATCTAATCTGCTGTTGCAGCTGCAGTGAATAGGACGTCGGTTTCGAAGTGTTCACGGGAATACCAGCATAGGTCTCTCTCATAGGACGATCGACCACGTCTTTCCCTTCGTTCCCACAAGACCCGCAAGACTTCTTATCCGTTAACGATCCAATCAAATCGCCTGAATTTTGCCGTCCAAATGTGGGCTTAATGGTGTCTGGAATTAGATTAACGCTCCTTAGTTGGTCCTGGAAAGGTGTCGCCGGCACGCTATCAGCTTCGCTCTTTAAAGGAAGGGTCTGTTGTTGGAATTTCGCGGCGGTATTCTCGCGAATCGTCTCTGCCTCCTGAAGACTTCTGATTTCTCGCAGTACTTGAGCAGTTTCAGGCTTGTTCATCGCGGAACGCAGGACTCTCTCCAAAATAGGATTGGGTATATACGAATCCTTTTCGTCGTCCTCCGCTGTTGCAACGAGCACCACTTGGTCACAGAATGATACGCTTTTCTTCTTTCCAATCCGCCGTTTCACCTTTCGCGGAGCAATGTCCTCCTCGTTCGGCAGTATTGTTGTGTTTTGTATAGTGTTCTGCATCGCCACCTCGCTGATGTCATCTTCCGGATAATCAACAGGCAAACCATTCTCGTGCGGGAGCGTCAAGGACATAGATAACATCACGGCATTTAATTCGCTTTGTTGAACGGATTCGCTTGATGGCACCATCGCGATAAAGCTGTTCTGGCTGGAACTCGAATCGAAACTGGAGTTCGAAACGGTCTGAGAATTCAAAGTTTCTGTCTTCGTAAAAACTACGGTATTCTCGGAAGGTAATTTTGCCGACTTCGCGTTCTCCATCGATGACGTTTCCTGAGGCATATCGTTTCCTGATATTAACATCGGCGAAACGCAATTCACATTTTGCTTTGTTTGAGGTTTCACGTCTGTGTCCGACTTCGAGGCTGGTTGCAGCTTGATCTGTTCAAATCTAGCAGCCATGTCTTTTACCGAAGAAGCGACTCTCGGGCAGTCCGTGACGTCGCGACCTTGATCGTAATTCTGTCCAAGATTATTCATCATTAAATCACTGGTTCTTCTGGCGACAGTCGGTCCTGGAATCGTCGGCATCGACGGAGTTCTAACTTTTGGAATGTCTTGATTTAAAGGTGCTTGCCTCTTCATTTTCCTCTCGGCCTGTTTAGCTTGTAGCTCTCTCAACCACGTTTCGCTCGAGGATTTCTCCTCGTCCTCGTGCTCTTGCGCTCGTTTCTCTTTATTCGAATCGTCAGTTAAGATCTGCTCCCTTTTGTTTTGCAACTGCGCCAACAGGGTGCCAATTTGCTGCGCTTCGAATTGCTGTGGACGTTGCTGTTGCGATTTAACGGAAGCTTGATGTTGTTGAGCTTCTTGAAGAGGAGTCGGCTCATCGATCGGTGGCGGCGGCGGTGGGAAATCCTCACTGGTTTGTCTTGAATGCGACACCGAATGAATTGATGGATACGGCGGTGGTGGAAACTCCTCGCTCGGTTGCCGCGAATGCGAAATATTGCCATTTTCGGGATAAGGTGGTAAGGAATCCGGCTGAAATTGTTGTTTAGGCGGACTCTGCTCATTGTGCACGTCTGCGCGAGTGACAACGAAGGTCGGCTCGTAGAGTATACCGTTAGCGTATTGTATGACGTCATCTTGAATCCTAGGCTTGTTGTTGTAATTTATTTGACATGCTCCAGAAATATTGGTATTCTGTTCATTGTAAGACGGTAGAAAAGGAAGCGAATGCGATTCCGAGGAGTAATCAGCATAATCTGAGTTCCTGTTCGTCACGTTAGTCGAGTTGCTCGTGTTCATGTGATTCCAATAAACGTTGTTTTGTTCCTGCGACGAATTCGGCACGCACCGATTATCCGGCAAAGGATATGCAGCTTTGTCGGATTGCTGCTCATTGTGCACTTCGCCCGAACACTTAGACTTGCTAAGCTGAGAAGTGGTCCTGAGCGGAGGGGGCGGAGGCACTTTTGCCACGTGTAACACTTTGCCGGCGCTACCGTGGAAGCTCTTTCTCATCAAACGGCTTCTTTCGAGATTTGGATTGCTAGTATTTCCAGATCCATTGTTGCCGGCAAACTCCAGGTGTCCCTCCGATAAGTAACCACTCAGTGTTTGACTTACATCATTGCCTTTTAGACCAACGCTGGAATCGTCTACTGACTGTTTTGGTAAGGCGGATGATCTTTCCGTATTCACATTTGCCTGGCCATCCTGCCCTTCTCGCAAATCTGGCATACTTCTATTCTTCCTCTTGATCAATCCGCCCATGAGTAACTTTCTGCGAATCTTATGCTGCTTCTTGCCCTGCTTCTGCTCGACCGTATTGTTGAGCTGTGTATTTCTGACGACAGTTGCGTTAATCTCGGTTTCTTTTGGCTTTTCGATCTTTACCCCTTTTGGAGACGGTGACAACCTAGATGGTGCTATCGAAAAATCCTTTGACACATTCTTGTTCCTCTCTTCGCTCCTCGCGCGTTTCTTATCTTTCTTATCGTCCTCGCAACGTTTCGTGCGGCTAAACAAGCCGGTTCTTTGCGTTGGGCGATCATACAGCATGTATTCCTCGTCCTCGATTACGTTCACCGCTGTCGCTTTACTACGTAGAGTCTTCTTCTTCGGCAAAGTAGCGTAAATCTCGATACTCTTCGTGGTAGGTTTATCTACCACCGTTGTTGGTGCGTTCACGAGAAGTTCCCGACTATTTTGTCGAGAGTGATTGCCTTTATCTCGCGAACTTTGCCTTGAATGTTGGCTCGATTTACTATTCTCTCGCGAGTGTCTTCCTTCAGGTGCCCCATCTATAAAGAAAAAGAACGCAATGTATAAAATATGTATTTTTATTTATTCTGCATGCGTCATCATAATAATCAATATCTCGATTGCTTACCCTCTTTGTCACCGTTAACAGTAACTTGTTCCTGCAGCATTCTCCTATGTAAACTCCTCGTTCTCATGACGCAAGTATTGTGTTTCATTCTTGCTATCGTGATTGTGTGAGGATTATTATACGGAGCATCCATCGCAGCTCTGGCTTTGTTGCTGGCCGCACTACACAATGCGACGGCTGTGTTAAGATCGCCAGCATCTTCGGCGGCACGAGATTTATCCAGCAACGCGTCCGTTTCTTTACATAATCGTTCGCAATCGTCGCCGGAAGAAGGTTGGTAACCTTCCGGTATTTGAGCAAGCTAGTAAGAAATGATATCCAAATTACAAAAGAGTACGTACAAACATCCTTGTGGTAACGATTGAGAAATTTAGATATTTAGAAGTTTACAATCAAAAATTCTTGTCGTTATTCTCTTAATTTTGTTAATATTTTCTTATTTACCTGTAAGTTGTGCTTTAAACCCTGCTGAAGTGGAAGACTGTCAGTGGAAGACAAAGAATACGAGTCGTAACCAGCGTCGTAATGACCGCTGCTGCTGCTCGAGAGCTCCCCAGATTTGCTGATGGGGCTTTTAGGTACGCCCGAGGTCCTCTGCATTTTATTAACAATATACAGATACGTGTTGTCCATCGTGGTTGACGAACTCGACGACGCGCTGTTTCGATCGCCGGACCAATTACCGGAATCTCGTCTTCGAGGCACGTTCATATGGTCAGGGATGCTGATACCGTCTTGCGGCGCCGATCCCACGCTTAAGCTACGCGTCAATTGCATCTGCTGCTTCTTCTGTTGCTGCATTACATTTTCCACGGCGCGACGGCTAATGTACTTCGATTCTATTTCACCATCAACCGCGTCTACGCCCTGTGTCATATTATTTTCATGTCAAAAAATTAAATGCAAAGTCAACACGTTTGCTGCAGTAAAAGAAAGATGTAAAAAATAATTTATAAATATTGATCAAACACGACATACCTGATTGCCGAATATATTATTCTGGATGTCTGTGAGATTCTGGTAATCACTGTAAACGGTTCGTTGAGTGTAGAGGTGTGGCGGACTGTCAGGATTAGGTGTGATGGCACGTCTGGCAGTGCTATTGATGGATGGCTTCTCAGGACTAGGAGTAATGGAACGGCGAACGCTATTCTTTGGGGATGTCTTTAGGCCATTATTATTCGGAAAAGGGATAATAGTCTTTGGGGCGTTCTCGGTATTAACCGGAGTACCGGCGGGCGTCGCGTACAGGAGTAGCAAAGGCTGATAACGACCTCTCCTACACTTTTCCACGACTTGCTCCCACCGGGGCCCAATTTCCTTGACGGTGGCATCGTCGAAATAGATCCACACCTAAGAATTTGTTTTATCGCCATGTTAAGTCGTGCTACAAAGCTGGAGTCGCTGTAGCAAAACTACCTTGGTGATACGAAGGTAACACTGACCTTCAATTTCGTATGGAAGAAGAACGTAGAATAATGTTTCCCGTAATAGGTAACAACTCCTACGAGATTATGCACGGTAGAAGCGCCCCATCGTGAGTCTACCACGCTATGGAAGACGTCACTTAGTCGAAGGGACGTGCCCACGGTCGCAAAAACGTCCATGATATGCTCCAACGACGGTCGTTCGCTGTCCCAGACGACGCCGACGGAAACTATTTCCGGTCGATTCATCAAGGTCCGACAGATTTGAATTTTCGCACCGCAAGAACTCTAAGAATAACAAACGAACAGAAATATATTTCTATTGTAATATTATTATCAAATCGTGAAACAATAATAATAATTTCATGATCACATTTTGATCGACTTTACAGAAAAAAAAGAAATGTTAAATCAAAACTTATATATACGCAATCTATAATCTTCTTAGGTATAAGAATTTCAACTTTTTTCTCTCGTTTGAACTATATAAATGACTTCATTCAAGCAAATTTTCTTCGATTAACGCAATATAATCTATAATTTCCACGTTGAAACTAAAGATATTTTTAAAACAAGAATGTTCTTCTTTCCTGCGTTGGCGTTCCATTTTCGAGAGAAAGTATAGAACCGGATGTAAATTCGTGGATAGAATGTATTCATAAAACTCGTATTCGAATGAGTCAGTTCTACGTAACCTTATTTAAAATGCAACGTGTTATGAGTGGGCTACCACGAAATTGATGACAAAACGCGGCAGAACGCGCGAGGCTTAACGCGTTCGTCACAAATTTGACCAAAGATTTATAAAATACGCTCGGTTAGCTTACCGGACAATCACGGATGTCCCCCATGCCGCCAGCTCTTCGAAGAAGTTGCCCGAACAGATCCGGATTATTTCTAGAATTTAGTGGCGTTTGATGAGCTTGAGACGTTAACGCTGACGCAGACACATAATGAACCATCTGAAAAAAGAATGGAGACGATGGTATATGTTTTTTTTTTTATTTAATAAATTCAAAGTTTCAAAAAGGTCAAGATTTATAAATTATAATTGGCAAAGGAAGGACAATTTTATATGTCATATAATAATAACCAAAGACCAAAAAGTTGGAAACTAAGAATTTTTAGTAAACGAGAAGCAATAAGAGCCATATACTTAGATTGTCAAGCCAAAATCATTGAAAGCAGACTGTATATCTTCTATAAATATCTTCTATAAATTTTGCTAACAAAAAAGTAATAAATTTGATGTATGATCTATCGTATTTAATATCGGCAGAATTGCGATAGGAATCGCATAAAACTAATAGATTTTGATAAGATTTATAATAAAATTTGCTGTTTCGCGTTTAAATAATTTTAAATAAATTACCATAATAGAATAATAAAACCATTCACTATACTTTAATAGATACAAATTAAACAAAAATATTATATTAATAACTTGATGCAAATTTAAATAATTAAAAGGAACAATTAATCTCGATTTCGTTAGCCTGATCATTATATCATATCTGCACAAATTTAATACGGATGCAATTAATGCTTATCTGTTTCAATATCCTGATCGAATCTGTTATTGAACCGCCGGCATACTGCTAACTCTGCATGCTAGTGGATAACAGCAACTAGTTTCATGCTTTTTACGGTTCGCTGGTCAACGATGCCCGATGTGAACACGCCAAGGAAAACCAACTCCACCCACGAGATGCTGAGCACTATATGTGGCATTACGCTGCTCTCTTCCGTTTGCGCGATTCAAGTTGTTCAAGTTGCAAAAGGATTGCAAAGAAATACTCATGGCATAAAGTAAAGTTGCAAGAATGTATTATTTTACTAATACTATACTATCAGTGATAGAATACTGATATTTTATTAAAACAAGGCCCAATAAAAGGAATCATGCAGCAGATGTTAGTGCGCAGATATGTCAATATGTGAAATCAAATTTCAGTCCACTTTCAACAATTCGCAGTTGCAAATCAAATAAAAATAAATCAACGAAACATATATACTTGATAAAACACACTTGTTTTATAACTATCCGTTATATAACTACTGTGCAACAAGATTACAAAACAATTTTAACAAGCGTAAACAATATTTAAAAAAAAACGAAATATCTCTTTATTTTCATGATTGTAAATTTAGATTTTTTGCAGAATTAATGATGCTTTAAACAAAGCATAATTTGGAAGAAAATTTTATTGTCACGATTAGATAAGTAAAAATAAAAAATAACCAAAATTCGTAAAAAATAAAAATAGAAAAAGGATCTCTTAATCGAAATAAAATACATAAAAGTTGTTTTTCTACTTGATTACGAGTAGAATATCTTTATACTGAGTTTTTCATTAATTTTGTTAATAATTTCACTAACAAATTCTGTTTTTCTAAATTTCTTTCCTGAAATAAAAATAAAACGTGAGAAAAAAAGACACTAAATACTTAGGTAGGTAAAAGGTAAGAAAACCGTGAGACATCTTAAAAGAGCAGATGTTCATAGAAAGAGGAAAAACATACAAAGGTTCTATATGCCTCAGGTAAAATCTAAGATGAATACTATACGCACCGATCGCACGTAAACGTAAACGTACGAAAACGTAAACGGAAGGAAAAACGGAAAGGTCGTTCGAAGACGCGATCGAATGTCAATTTGGCGCGTTTCACTTCAGAAACGAAAATAATATCTTTGCGTTTCATTTTTATATATTCTCTCTAAAATCACGATCTCAATTTTATAACTTTGTAATGAGCCAGTCATCAAAAAATTGAAAGACGCCCGTGTTTCCATTTTTCGAACGCGATACTTCTTGAGTGATTTTTTATATAATAATGTAGCAATATATGATAAGCACATGCAATGTGAAAAACATGATATATTAATTACACGAACCTGTGTAAAAGGCAGTGGCTCCGACGTAGCACCGCAAACTCCGCAGACGCTTTGCTCGACGAGCGTCATGGCGAATTTCTGATGCGGTACACAATGCCTCGCGCTGCACATGTCTTCAGCCTCGCCGCTTGCAATGTGAAGGTGTATACGTAAGAGAATGTTTTCCTGAAAATCGAAAAAAGAAATTGTATGTTAGCTTAGGAACGCGCATTCCTTCATGTTTTCTATTACAATTCCTGTCTTTAGAAGGTCAAATTAAACGTACATAAAGCAGATATATTCATCTCCGATATTTTCTTATAAAAATTAAGCATATAATTTTATTACAAAATAATTTATGGGGTCATCAACCTCCCATATTTAACTTAATACGCAAAAAAGGTACGTCAGCTAGCAAATGCCGATAAAAATCCTGCGTTTGAGAATATGCAGAATAACGGTACGCCGCCACGATTACGTTACTGTCCTTGCATCTATTGTACGTTTTCGTTGTGTAAGTATCCAAGTTGCATAGATATTATTCAGCCGACCAGTGTTGACATACATACGAGCATACTAGTGTCCAACGTGACTGTTGTGCAAACGAGAAAGTAGTATGCTGTCGGTATTTGCAAGGCATATTATACCTAAGATCATTATTGCTAGTCCAATCTCGTACATATAACTAGGCATCATTAGAAACATTCGATCAGCCTCGAAATATTCAATAATGAAAATAGCGTGATTCTGCCTGCGCCAGAGAGCGAGAGAGAAAATCCTGAGGGAAAGACCTTGATTTGACTTAATTCTATTGCATTTAGTAATCTGGGCCTTCCACGTCATAAAACTTCCTTTGTTATTAGCAGGAAAGTTCTTCTTCTCCTTCTACTCTAAATATACATGACATATAATTTTTTCTTAATTGCAGAGAAAGATATATAAATATTATTTACCTTCCGTTTTTCACGTAGCGCAAATTTAAAAATTAAATTAATGCGGAAAGAGAAGCATAAAAATCGATTCAGCAATCGAAAACGCAATCTATCGCAAGTGATGAATAAAAAGAGTGTTTCAGCGCTTTTCGATCGATTGCCAATTGGCAGATTGCAATTACGTGTATATCAATATCTCGCTGTTTCAATCAGTAAAGGCATCTGGAAAAACCAAAATAATTGGCACTTACGAAACATTCCGCCGCGTCGTCCATAAAACCGAGTTGAAACCTCTGCTGATCGAGAAAGCTCTCGGCCAACGCACGGCGCAACGTATCGGGAGGCAGAGCACTCTCTTGCGAAAACTGCAGCTGCGAGAACAGGTCCTGAAACAAGACAATGTGACGAGGATTTAATGCGCGAGCTACCAAACGAGATCTCGCCGCCGAGCGTCGTGAACGCGCCGCGCCGACGAGAGTTCGCGAAACAAATAAATACCGTTCTGATATAAACAAAGACATGTCATGGTTACAAATATTAAATTTTAACATTATAAATATATAATTTTATTTTTGTGTATGTATAACACAAGTAAATGATGTAAAACATATTCTGATATTAATATAATATTTCGCATAGAGCTCCCTTTTGGCTCACTATCAAATAAAGACTTGATTCTCATTGGTATTGCATTCATTGAACTCGATATTTTCTCGTACGTATATCTATTAGCCTTGTCATCCTGGTGTAAGTTGAGCGACGAGCAAGATATAGAATATGAAAATGTAACGGAATCAACAGGTGGAATAAATTTTCATCGTATTATGGAAAATAAAGAGGTCGGCTTTAGTTTAGCGAGCGTCGAAAGAACGCTGCATCTTAATTCTATTATAACAACTAATATCCAAGATGTTTTGGTATCGCGATATATTTAGATAGCAAAATAATTTTTATTCAATATGGAAACTTTTTAAATTCCAGCTGCGTTACATATAATAGAAATTTTGTAATAAAATAAAATTATAACTGCATCTTAATTCTATTACAACAGTTAATGTCTAAAATGTTTTGATATCGCGATATATTTAAATAGCAAAATAATTTTCGTTCGGTATAAGAACTTTTTAAATTCTAGCTGCATTACATAGAAATAAAATAACATAGCTATAAACAAATTTATAGCTAAAGCCGTAAATCACAATGGAAATAAATGTGAACTTCATTGATATAAATGTTAAATAATATTGCAGACAGATTTTCTGTAAATTATTTCTGTCATTTCGCAAATAAACGTAAAAGAGAGAGAGGAATAAATCTAAATTTTCTTGCACGAAGTTACGTTAATCCTTATTACATCACCGCCGATAAAACCGTTGGTTTTGTGATAAAATCGCATTGTAACGCTAAACCTACCGCATTGCTCTGCTTCTTTCATTTCCCTAATCAACATATCTACCGGATAATCACGGTGCATAGATAATTTTACGAAACGCAAGCGATTTTGCAATGAGACGGCGGTGAGCGAAGTTCTTGGAATCGGTGAGATACGCGAGATGGGACATCGACCATACATTATCTTGATTTTTCCTGTACATCGGTCGCCGTATGCCACGCCGCTGTGACACATGGCAAGAGGTCAAGTAGGAGTACCGGACCGGTCGTAATTTGCGACCTATCGCCAGCAGCCGGGTTCTACTAGTAGGTTTCGTAACTAATCCCACCCTCCCGCGATTAGTAAGTAGCGATTACATGTAGAAAGTCGGCGCGCGCTGCGCTTCAAGGTGCTTGCCTAACGCAGCATTTCGACAAAAATTCCGGATGCAAAAGGAAGAAGAAACAACTCAAAGTGCACCACGCGAATCACGATGCGAGTTGTGAACTTGGTTTTACGATTCGCAAAAGAGAGTTCGATAAATGTGCCAAATAATAAGCAAAAATCGATAGGATAATAGAATAATAAGGCAGAATCGATTTCTGAGATTTTCCGATAAATTTCAATGATTCAATCGGAATTCGCGCTAGTCATTCTGTTACGTCTGAGCGGCAATCTAATACGCTACTACGTCAATTCGCGTCTAAAGTGAAATTCCTCAATGAAAGTTAACCGCGTGTCGCGTACTAACTGTCTACCGGTAATGACAGTAGTGACAGATGTGGTACGAGTCGCCCGATCGGCGTAAAAGCGATGATGGTAACGGCATGTCCATGTGCATCTGTGAAGAAGAGAACGTGGCACCTGTTCGAGACAGGTTTGGCGCCTGGTGCAGAAGAAACCAGCCGGTTTCAGCGTTTACGTATCAGATATTGTGTTAGATCGAGTGTGTTCGTCGAACGAAAGCGGTGCCTTATCGGTCATTAATGTTGGCCGCGCGTTTCTCGAAACTTAATAGAGAGTACCTCAAGACATAATATCTATCGCGCAGAAAAAGGCTGTTAAAAAAAAATAGCAAATAACTTTCAGAATTAATAATCTTCGACGTTCATCTGCTTTTGTGTAGAGAGAAGAGAGAGTAAAAATTATAACTAACACGTGTCTCTATAGACGCCTTCACACGATCAAGCATTCTCAAGCCACGGTCTATAGTAATTTGAGAGAAACCATATGTGTGTATTGTCTTAAGGTAATTAGTTTAATGACTAAATTCATTATCGGTTATTCATTAAAACTAAATTAATTAGCACTCTTGCTATTAAGAGCACGAGCCTCAAACGTGTTTTAACGCAGCTCTCTAAACTAATGAAGAGATCAATGAGGTATAAGCGTACTTTTTTCAAATTGGTCAGCTCAACGTTGCAAACCGAGTCTTCTTTCTCCATACCGCTATCCTCCCCCTCCTCTTCGATTTTATCTTCAATTTTAACTCTCGCCTCATCGTTTTTTATCTTCTGATGAGGCTTGAGTGACAGCGGGGTCGACGTGGATGTCGTCGTCGTCGACGCATTCTGACGAACCTTTATCCACTTCAACATCTTTACATCTTCCGTACGCTCGATGTTACGTTGGAGACGTAAATGTCATCGTCTCTTTATTGCACACTATGATTCATGATAGTCATCTTCAAAACGTTAAAAATTAGGCGGCAAAAAGATTTATTAATTCTTTCAAACGTCGATGATACGCTCCAAAATTAAAATAAAAACATCGCGCGTGCAAAATGACGTATCTTCCGGTGCCGGATAAGGATAAATGCTTAACTTCCACTCGACAGAAAACTTCTCGTGACGGATTTCTGGTACGATAGCGTTGTTTGCCGTGTCTACACGCGACACTTTACTTGCTCCTCTGATAATATCATTTCGTATATTTGTCTTGTAACTTTACGCTGTATTTTCCCTTTGTCGATCTTCTTTCTTTTTCAAGCGATAATGCACACTGTTATATCTTTCCTGTTTGCGCCCTCGTGTAGTACCTTAAACTATACGATAGCTGTGTTTTATTAAAGATAAATTAGGGTCGACGATCGCTTTTTACTGTACAATTCTTATCATATCTTCAAAATGTCCTTTCTTCTTTATTTTCGAGACTGCTGAACGTTATCGTAATGCGATAAATGCCGCAAGCGTTATTTTGCGACGTAACTTTGAGTAATAACGCTACAATCGCGGCGGATCAGATAAACGAGAGAACGTTTAAGAACACGAAGAAAGGAGATGCGAAGGTTGACGATGAGCAAGCCAGGCGAGAGTCAGAAAGGCAGATGCTTTTCTTCGTAAAGGACGGAGGTAGAATCGTATATAGCAATTGCATACCGGATATGCCGGCAGAACCCGTTGCCAGATGAATCGTAGGCTCGATTAAAAACGTAAACTCGTTTAGCCGGCAATGTCGCCTTTCCGATTCGCAAACTTGGCATTATTGTGATAAGCTCGCGGTTTCAATATCATCTCGACCCCAAAGTGGCAAGTTCTCGGCGATCTCGAAGAATATTCTCTGAGAACTCGCCTATTCGTCAAAAAGCAACGTCTGGGAAGATTAGTTTCAAAATAATTGTGCGATAAAAAATCTTTTTGGAAGATCTTCAAGATATTGATGAACATAAAGATCCCTTTATGTCATTTCTTTAGACCAAACGCAGAATAGCTTTGCATAAATGTACAGTTTTCCAAAATGATGACGAAGTTACTCCATCGGATGTTAATGTTTGAATCAAATGTTAGCGTGGACCACTTTTTTGCTCCGCGCCTCGACATACCACGTGCTCCTCTCCTTCCGCCGCTTCTCAGAAAGATTAGAAGCAACTCTCTTCCTTCGCAACCATCACTGTTCCATATCTTCGTATCTCGATATCCAATGAAGATTCCAACATAGCTATTATACTACCGCCGTCTACCGTTATTGCTTAACTATGCAACACTTATATCTGCCGTAAAAGGATATTTACAACACCGTCACGGAAGTAGACAATCCCGTCGCGCACGTTCTTTCCTCGCGAACCACTTTACGCTCCGGATCATCAAGAAGCGCGAGAATGAAAACGTTTTCCTTCGCACAGCTTCGCGGCAGTTTCACAGCACACGATCGCACGCGGAGAAACGGCGGAGAAGGAGCGCGGAACTACCTGAACGCGGCGCCGTGCACGCCGTGCACCCGTACCTGAAGCCAGCGACTCGCAGTATGCTGGCGGACACCCCCACCCCTCTCGTCTGGTTCTCTTCGTCTTCCTCTTCTTTCTAAGGGGCCATACAGTATCCACTTTCTCGCTCCGTCCCACCTTTCGATAGATCCAAGAAATCCATGACGTCACCCGTTTAGCTGTTCTACGCTCACCTATCTACCTGAACAACCTGAACCACACAGCAGCCCAGCCAGGACCGTAGCTCGTTGAAGATTTGGACAACCTTCGTTCTTTAGATTTATCTCTTTCAGATCTTCAGAGGAAGATAAATCGGAAAAATTATCCGATCATTGTTTTTGCAAAGATATTGATTTCTTTTATTGCCATTGCAAAAAATTGCAACGGTGCAATGATTTGATACTCAGGGGAAGTTTACTTTTCCATGTACAGCGTATCGTATTGCTGTAATTTTCATTTTGTGACTTATTGTGTCATTTCGTGAGTTATAGAATGCATCAACCCTTTGACTACGAGTAAACTGGTTACAGAGCTACACGCACAATTCAACCGCAAAATTTCGTCTAAAAAAAACACAGCTATTAAGACACAGAAAAACTATAGTAGCGTTTATCCTAAAAGACCGTTTAGAGAGAAGCCACTATAGTGACGCGTACTCAAAGGGGTTCCGTCGTAAACGATACGATGTTATTCATATGGAAGCACAACAAGCATTCATAATATTTATGCATTGCGCTGGTTCTTTTCTGTTAAGAATAAGAAAAAATTGATGTCTTTTATACAATCATAAAATAAATATTGTTAGTCGAATAAACAAGTTCATCATCTTCGTGGACAACCAGCATCCGCATTCCACTCCTGACGCTCACTTAATTGGACTTACGTGAGTATGAGGATATTGCTCATATCAATATATGTATATATAAAAATTATAAAATATTGATAAGAGAGAGAAAGAGTAATAGAGGTATAAACGATCTAATACTTCACTATACAGGATGTCTCATAAAAATAGCAACAACACTTAAGTAAATTCTTGAGATCATTTTAAAATAAAAATCTTATTACCAAAATATCGAGATCACAATAGTTTTTTAATTAAAAACATTTAGAGTTAGCGAGTTAAATCGTCTAAAATTCGCGCGTTCAGGTGTTCTACAATGCACAGAGCTAAAGATGACTGTTGCCCCGCTTGTCAAAGTCGGATCACTAAAATACAGAACATTCTCAAGAGATTTAATAGTAAAATATAGAAGACCAACGAATTAAATAATATGCTTGGACTAAGATACTTTATTTAATATGCATAGCATGTTGCGAAGGATTTCATTTCACATGCACACACACACGCACGCATACACACGTATATACCAAACAGGAAATTGTATCTATTAAATCCAGGCGATACTATTTAATCAAGAAGTGTGGGCACTGTCGCGTAAAAGAAGTAACGTGGCTACTTACGTACAAGGACTTGGAACATTTCCTCCCTCGTTTATGAGACAGGATGTAAATCTAGTTAAGTTTACTTGTAAAATACACGACTCTTAACGAGTATTAAACGATAACCTATTCTGCCTATATACACTTTCAATCTTGTCGTATGGAAAATCTCAGCAATCGAGTTTCCTCAAAATATTCTTTGGGAGAATAGCCAAACCGTATTAATTTTAAATAACAAAAGAAGCAACGAAAAACATATTATTAAATCTCAATATTAAAAAATGCAGTTAAAGGAGAAAATCGAAAACTAGTAGTTCGATTCGACTTTGAGTGGTTCGACACGCGGGTTCAAAGGAACTATTAGCGGCGACCGGAAATGATCCGATAATAGCAGAAAATTATGTCAGGTGTCCGTAACCGAAGTGGTAATCTGTAAATGTGTCTCTACCACAAATTGTGGCGCGGCGCGCAAAAAAAAGTGTTACAAATCGCGTCTTCAGCAAGATTGCAAGATCTATTGCATGTTTTTTTTTTGTTTAAAGATAACGGTTGTTGTTTGACGACACTACCAGCGAATACTCTTAATTGAGCACTCTCCTAATTATGCCCACAGTCACCTATTATCATCGCCATCTCACAACTAACTGTATTCAGAAACATGCAAAGATACAAGAATTATGCTTGAGCACTGTCGATATGATCTGTGCCATTAGAGCTATTGTACGGTTCATATCACACAGCTGCATCGGAATTGAATTCTCATAATGCAACGATTATATAAGTTTTTAACATCATTCCGGCTTTTCAGAAAATGCAAATAGATAAACAGGAAATCCTTTACGGGGAACTATCGCCTCTTGAATAACCATAAAGCTAAGTTATATTGTTTGCGCAACATTAAAAATTCTGTTCCCTTCCTGATTAACTCAGACAGAGTAACTTAGTTCCGTTCGCTGATAATGTAACGTTGAAAGCATTGCACTTGTTGAAATAAGTTAAAATATTTATAAGTTAATTCAAGCAAACACATTTAACAAAAATTGCAAGATATTTATATACTGCTAGAAAAAATATTCTTAACATACTCATTTCTTAAAAATTTACAAGCAGGAAAGATAGTATCGCGAGAGGCAAAGGGTCCTCTCGTAACATCGAAGGACTTTCACTCCCATCCTCCCTTCTTCCAAAACGCATTCCTGATGAATCATCTTAGGTATTTCATTTGGATTAAATTCTTCGTAGGGTGATATTAATCATCATATTGGTATGCAATAACATAACCTTTTTTTTCAGAACTTTATTTGTAGAAAGTTTGTTCAATTTAAAAATAATTAATCTTTAGAATTTAATATTAAGCGTTTATAATCAGATTAATAAACTTATTGCGATTTTAAAGAATATATTCAGAATTAAAATTTATTTACAGACAAATTTACTTAATCTTACTTTAATCTTTTTGCACGTGGTAGACATAATTATCTGGAAATCTTAAACCTGTTATCAGTGAGATAACAAACCGTCTAAAAGCATTTTGCAAAGATATCATGACATTTATTTTGAAAAATGTTCAGCGTGAATAATGTACCATGAAAACCTGTTTCTTCCCTACCACTAACAGGTAGATCGTCCATGGAAGATATAATTTCTAGTTTGGATCGTTCCGCGTATAAGGGTGGATCCCAAAAGTTACCCGTACGATAGCTTCTGACACGAAAGGCATATTGAAACCCAAATTCACTCGGCACAGCTATTATCTCAAATACATCAAATTCTTCTTTGTTTCCAAGTTGAAATAACGTTACCTAATATTAAATTGTCCAATTATAAATAATGATGCGCGTAATTTACACCTGACGTAAAAATTAAAACAATGTAACGCTTGCAAAAATGTTATTTGCATTTAAATCGCATAATTATTGTCACATGAATATATTCTCTGAAAATTGCGCAACGTTTATATCTCGTGCCGTAACGTGCCCTCTCTACAGTAAGAAAATGAGCTTTGCTGAATTGCTCTCGAATTGCGGTAATTTTGGGCAAAATTGCGCCGGTTGAAAGACGAATCTCTGGTAACAACAAAGCGTACACGTTCTTCCGACCGGTAATTGTTCCTGCGAATCGCGCCCGGTACCCCTATACGCCTCTGAAGCAATTAACTCTCAAGATTGCTAATTAACCCCGTGAGAAGATCGGTGAGGAACTTGCGTTTCCACCTACTTCTCGAGTAGCCTCGAATGCGCGACGTCTACCATCGCAGCTTGAAGCTAGTTTCCTTCTTGTGCTAGATGAAACAGTTGACCTTCCACGATAAAAGCAGACAACGCTTGCGATGATGGACCAACGCGCGATTATAGTCGTGGCGGCGCGGCGCTCCTCGCCAATCACGAACGAAAACATCTCGTTGTCCGTGGAGCGTCGATCCCGTTACAATGGTTAGTCGTATCTCTACATGATTGCGAAGAACGTGACAGAGAAAATGATATAATAGCAAATAAAGTCGAAGGCTTTTATTATCGATCCGCCCAACAGCAGAGAAAGAAGACAAATAAATCCGCGCTGTTATTTTATATTAAAAATGTATATGCCTTTCCCCTTCCAATTTAAACATTTCTTGATCGTATTGTGTATATAAATATTCGTGCATTAAGAGGCATTAACGAGGCTCAATTACATAAGGCTTATTACATAAAACTCGCAAAGTTAATATTTTGCATATTTATTATATGAATTGTGTAAAATATAATAATACTTTGAAAATAATAATTTAAAATACTTTAATAATAATAATAATTTAAAAATATGCATGTAAGCTAAATAATATAGCAAACTAGAAAAATTACAGTATATAATAAACACATCGATGCAAAATTAACACCTCTGTTGTGATTATTGGTTGAATAAATTTTGTTTGCATCGCAGGTTAATATATACGTGCGAAGGGAATAGCTTGCGCGTTGAATGGAAAATAATAAGCTCCCTCGCGCGTAAAATATCAAGACATTTTATCTGTTGGGCACACCCCATTTTCGCTGTTACCGTGGGATTATTTCGAAAGATGATTCTCATTGAATTTCATATAGCGTAAAACTTATCTGGAAAAATACTCGCACACAATCTCTTCTTTGTATAAAAATTGTCCTATAAGTACCGTTTCCTTTTGCTAGAACACTAAGCCGCCAGAGCTCATCGATACGTAAAAGTGTCAAGGTAGCATATTATAAAAACAACAGCTCAAAACATCTGTCGTTGCACGCAACTACAGTTATCAATCGTAATTGTAATTAAGGGGGGAAACAAAGAGAGATGCTGTTGATGAGCATGTTTCATAAACATCTTCTCTGCGTATTCATCAAAGATTCTTTGAATTTGTCAAATCACATATAAAAGAATAAAAGATTACATTAAGGGAATTACCTTCTTCCGCAATTTTGATTTGCTTACCTTAAGTGCGCAGAAAATGCAGGATTCTCGCATGCATGCATGTCCGGAGAGCTCTCTGAAGCTTCGGCGAAAAA